CTGGTATGAAGGGCTCACACCAGCTAAGTCATGAGGGATAAGGTAAATTTGTATGAAGAAAAAGCTGCTCGGGGCGGATGCGGTCACAGTGCAGCAGGTGCTGACTACGTAATGATGTTCAATGAGGAAATCAAGGAAGCCTGGCATGCACTAGCACACACTCTGTAAATACGCATTGCACAAAGGTGAAATCCGTGCACTCACATGCATTGCTGATGATGACAAGCTAGACGATTGAGTGTCAGTGCCAATCAGACAACCACAAGGAAGTAAAATATGATGAACTTACATCATGCTTTCAAAAGCTCTTGCCAACGGCATTTGAACGGCATACACCTGTATCTTACACCAGATGTGCAATGCTTGTTTATTTCTCACCCCCACTGCCCAGTCAGGTTGAGAGGCACTGTTACAAGTGTCACTGAGCTGAGGTACATGTGCTGTGGCCATGTCACAATATTCTTGTGGTGGCAACAGAATCCCCTTGTATGCTTGGTAAAAGGGTATAGTGTGCTGCAGCAGCTCCCACAGATTGAGTGCTGCGGGCATCCCTCCATAGTCCTGCTCTTCATACTCCTGCATTCCAGGAGTGCAGGGAAGAGACTGTAGACAATGAGTGAGGGTGCCTGTAACAGCCATACTGTTACTCACCAAATTACTGGGGGAACTTGAGGAGGGATAAGTAATATGGTGAGTGTAGAGAGCTGGATGAGAGTGGTGATCTCGAGTATAACAAGTGGAATAGACTGGAGTGTACATTCCAGGATATGCCTCCTTAAATCCAAGTCCAGATCTATGATATCATGCTGTGTCTGCCCTAGACTATTTGGGATGATAACTGTACAGTATTTGGTTCGACCAATGGCAATGTCCCTATATCTAATATCTGACTAAAGGTGTGCCTTGATAACTAAGAAATTGGTAAGGCGAGCCCATAATACTGACTAAGGAGATCATGTGCAGGACCAGCTGATGCTGGAAACCATGTGGAACTACTGATATTATCTACTGATCAATGATGGCTGCCTCGAAAAGTGCAAGTCGGGATGAAGAGGGCATACTTGCAGGTATCACAGTATCCCGGCGGTGATATATGCATATGAAGTTAAAAAGAAGGATGGAAGGTATCCTCCATACGCGATGGAGGACATTGTAGAATTGGAAGGCCAATTTAGAATAACTAATTATGGATGACGTGCGGTCGTAAGCGCTGGTGGTCCATCGGAAGCCGTGCGGGGGAACACGGGCGTCGACGCCTTTTCGCATCCACATTGCGAAAGGGAAGAAGGAATCGGTGGAGGAACACGACGCGGAACCGGGGAGACGGTGGGCGATCTACTCTGACGGGTTGAGGTATGAGGGGGCCATTGGGGCAGCAGCGGTTTTGCGGAGGCCGAACGGGTCGGAGCGGTCGGTGCGGTATCATCTGGGGGGGGAGAAGAAGCACATGGTGTTCGAAGGGGAGCTGGTGGGGATGTCCCTGGCGGTGGGCACGTTGTGGACTGAGCGGGGGTGGAGGGGGCGGTGGTGCGAGTGTATGTGGACAGTCAGGCTGCGCTCCTGGCAATGACAGGCCCGAATTCGCGGGCCCCTGGGCGCTACCTGTAGAAATTCGAGGTCGCAGGAGCTCGCGACGACGCACAGCGCGTTTGTCCTGGGCGAGGGGAGGGTGCCCGAAGGGCAATCGCGTGAATAATCCAAGTAGCTACGACATGAATATATACCTAAATAAAACTCGGAATCTATATGATAAATCGACACGTCATGATCCGAGCGATAACGAACACAGAATTCCAACACTACCTTGTGGGTCCCATCTGGGCGCTGGTGGCGGATGTGAAGCGGCGTCTGCAGGGGGCGGAGGTGGAGTTTACGTGGGTGGCGGGACACATGGGGGTGTCGGGTAACGAGTCGGCAGATGTGCTGAAAGAGGATTATCATGGATGGGTGCCAGTGGAGCATTGAATGGATGATGAGGATGATGACAAAAACAAAAGTAGCTTGTTTACTATTGATGCAATCAATTAAAACATGGACACTGTAGGATATGCGTCAGTATGGTGTTGCAAGACAGCTGCAAAGAAGGGTCTGCCATAGGGATTTTTATGTTTTCATTCTCAGCACTTAATTGCATATCCTAACTTTAACCTGTCAGGTGTTTGAGCACTGTGAGGTTCAAAGGGGGCCCGACCAATCCCATGGGTCACTCAGGAGTCCGGACACCCATAGCTATGCGAGAGCGAGCTTGCTCATCTCCCAAAGAAATCAAGCATCTCTCACGCTCTTGCAGCAACAACAACTGCAACAGTGAGCACGTCGATGTCCCAGAAAATGGGATGGCCATAGACAACCACAAAGCACCAATCCAGGACAACGACAAGCTTAACAACAGTACCTGGGCATAGCCCGCAGATTTCACGTCGAAGATTAGCCATTCGGGTATTGCTGTTAACTCGGCCTCGAGTTACCGATCGGCCAATGAACTTGAGATCGACATCAGCCAGTTGGAGGGGCCAAAGACGGAGGAAATGGGGGTAGTGGCCGTACACTCGCCGGGGGCACGTCATCACTAAGGCCGCGTGGGGCCTGTCTCACCACGGCCGTCCCGCACGCCCACCCACGCACACGGAGATAGCCCACCCATTTTGCCTTTAGGTGGGCTCTGCTCACCGCGGTCGTCCCGGAAGGCCATG